TGGTTTGTGTCTCCCTGATTTTGTCATCGGAATGGTAACTCATTTGATTCATTTATTTAATTTCCGACTAATTAAAAATTTGCTTCCGATCACTTGATTGAGGTGCTTGAGAACACCTTCAGTTGATTAAAGAATTTAAAATCTGCCTAATCAATAATTTTATACAGTATAAAGAAAGTAAATGAGATTAAGGGTGTTCTCAAGCGCCTAAGGTTGTTCTCAAGCACCTACCTCTATGTGATTGCATAGTGATTGAGATGACGCATAAGCACTAAGATCATTTGAATAGTGATTGAGATCAGTGCTTGAGCATTCTCTATCTTATTATCATTAAACTGCTATCATTACAACACTATCGTTAAAATGACAAAAAGAAAAAAAGTGATTACTCCATTAGCTCCTAAAACTTCAGCTTCCAAAATGTTAGCGCCTAAGCCTTTAGCTCCAAAACCCTTAGTGAATAACCCTTTATCTTCTGAACCTTTGACTCCAGTTATTCATCATACTCCTTTAACAAATTTAACAAACAATTTTTCGTCACAACAATGGCAGTTTTTAACCACACAACTTCAAACAGATTCTTTAAATGAAATAACATCAAAATATAATGAATTGGTGAAATTTGTTTTTTATTGTAATATGAATATTATAAGTTTAAATATAAAAAATAATTTTTTATATATTCAATTATTGCAGCTTTCTAATATTTCACATGATCAAGAAAATTCTTCGCTTTTTAGCCCTATTGCTATTAACCCAATATCTTCTTCCATTTCTACTGCTTCTTATAATTCATCTTCTTCTGTTTCTACTACTCCTTATAATTCAACATCTTCTATTTCTACTGCTCCTTATAATTTAACATCTTCTTCTATTTCAACTGTGCCTTATAATTTAACATCTTCCATTTCTACTGCTCCTTATAATTTAACATCTATTTCCATTTCTGCTGCTCCTTATAATTCAACATCTACTTTTATTACATCTAATACATCTAGTAGATTAGCTAATCGATAGACATCTTCAGAAACTCATATGCTTATTAATGAAATGGGAAGTCATCAAGAAATGTTAAAAAATATAAGAGACCCAAGAGAAAATGGTCAAATTTGGGATATGATTACTTCAAATATACAGACCTCTGAAACTGCAAGTTTGGTCTTAAAAGAGTGCACAAAGGCATCAATTCAGCAAAAATAGGATGCGCTTCTTCAAAAATATCATGATATTAAAGATAGAATTGCGTCTACTGGAGAAGAGGCTATTCAAAATGATTGGGAATTTTTTGATGATATGGATATATATTTAGGAAGAGATCCAAGTGTAACAGCGCCTATTACAAGTAACTTAATTTGTAGAATTAAACGTAAAGTGCTAGAGAGCACTGAAGATCAAGATAACAATGATGTAAAAGTTATTTTTTATTATTTTTTCTAATATAATTAGATATTTACAATTAATTTATATAGAATGAGCCTAAAAAATAGAAAAGCACATGTAGTGAAAATAATTCAAATATCGAAAAGATTCAAGGTCTTATTAAAGAGCAAATAGAAGCAATTACAGAAATTATTAGAGATCAGTATTTGTATGCTTTGAAAATGTAGCAAAAAACATCATGATGAACAGATAGATATTTTTAAGCAATTTCTATTAAAATTTTAAATAAATGTAATATGCTATAATGTATTACTACCATAAATTGCCGCATAAACCACCCTGCGCGACAAATAATGCAGATCAATTTTTTAAATTAATATTTATATGTGACATGTGATATAAACAATTGTGTAATACATGTAACTTTTAATTTTTTACTATGTGAAAAATCACATCACACCGGGTGGTTTATGCAGCAATTTACGGTATATAATAATTTGTATTTAATATTAATAAAGCTTGTTTAATATAAATTCATAAGAAGATTTGCCAAATATTTTCTCTTTTGAGTATCTGCTATTTCTTCTCTTGTTTTATCTATTAATACAAATTCGTTTATATTATTTTCATTGCTAGTCATATCATTATCTAATTCATCATCTAAAGAATACAAATCTCCCATATCAATACAGAAATTATGTAATATGCAACATGCATGTATTATTTTAATAATTCATTCCATGTCAATACAATATAATTCTTTTAATAAAATTTTCTATCTTCCTTTTAAGCATCCAAATGCACATTTAATAACCATTCTCATTGATAATAAAACCTTATTGAACCATTTTTTCATTGTGTTAACATAAAATAATCTAGGTATGCATTCATCAAATACATTCGAAGAGGATATGCTGTATCAGCAATAATATATGTATCACCCAGAACCCAAAGTTTAGCATTTAATGAAATTTCATGATGAAGAGAAGAACAATAGAACACTCGAGCATCATGTACACTTCCTACATTAAAAAAACAATAAGTATCTTATATTTAAAAAAAAATTATTATTATTTACTAGCCTGCTTCTCCAGCATGTAAATATGTAAAACGCCCTTGGTGATCAACTACTGCTAAAAGATTTATTAAATGAAAATTTTTATGATTAATGTAACGTGCACCATTTTTAGAAGGTGTGTAAATAGGTATGTGAGTTTTATCTATTGCACCTATAACATTAAGTAATTTAGGTTTTTCAAATTCAGCATCACTGTTTTCAAAACCTCTTGTTACTGTTAATAAACATAATCCTTGTGGCCATACAATTCAATCCTTTTTCAAATCCAGTAATGCTCTTAAAAATCGATCTGTAAAATATCTTACAGACCCTTGGCTTACACCTAGTGTTTGCTCCAACATTCGTATTCCTACCCTATTTGCCAACTGCCACAATACAATTGCAACCTGTTTCTACACAGGTGTTACATTAGGTGCATTTGATATAAAAACTGGGTGGGCTTCTAAACAAGCCACAATAGCACGAAAAGTGGCTAAGTTAATATGAAAATGCTGCTAAAAGGTATTATAACTTTTACCATCTACTAAAAATAGAAAACATGTGTTCAAAACCCTCCAGTTTTGGGTCTTTGTTGATGCTGTGTTTTTGTATTGAACAAAGAAGAAGCAAGTGAAATAGCTGAATTCAATATTACATAATTAAAGGCTGTAAAGTAATAGATGCTTTTTCTTTGTGTTTGAATATTTAAATATCTTTGGTTGGATATAAGTGTTTCTAATATAAATAGTAACATAGTAATTCTTTGTCGCCAGTGCTGAAGATCTATAATATAAAAGAGTACTGAAGTAAAAAAAGAGTATTGAAGTAAAAAAAGAGTACTAAAGCAAAAAGAAAGAAATATCAAATATCAATATGTGTTGAGCGATCTTCCTGATTACTCCATTAATAGTGATTTTTAGCCAATCAGTGCAGCTCTATTAAAAAAAAGGTAATTGTTAACTCCAGGTTTTTTTGATTTAAATGATTATCATGATCAATTTTTTCTAACCAATCAGATCACTTCATAAATCATAGAGGTAGGTGCTTGAGAACAATCTAAATCAATTAATCAAGAATAAAATTTTAAATAGTCGGTGGCTGTAAAAATTGATCAAGTGAATTACTGCTTCACTAAAAAAAGTCTGGAGGCGCAGACCATCTTTTTTTTTCATAGAGTTAATGCTAATTGGCCAACACTGCTTATTAATAGAGTAAAAAAAAAGGTTGTTTAAGCACTTTGCTTTATATCATGGATCTTTAGTGAAATTATAATTATTAAAAAATTATTGCATTATTTTAAACACTTGTTGATAATAAAAATTCCAGAAAACTCAAAGAGCAAAAAAAGCTTGCTAACAATTGTTATTTCTTAACTTTTACGTCAAAAATAATTATATATATACTGTATTTATTTTATTTTTTATTAAAAATTTTTAATATTTAAATGCTTTATTATTTTCAGCGTTAGTTTTGTTCGCTGTGAATATTGTTGCTATAAACAACATATAAATATTCATAAAGTCTGTAAAGGGCACTTGGAGTTGCAGAAGTTGCATTTGTTTGTTGGATAGTCACCTTTTTTTTTTGTTATATTTTTGCTGAAGACATAGTGATAATAGAGTAAAGCAATGATGGTTTGCTCAAACAATGATTGCAATCATTATAATGACCATTTGTAATAATTGAGCATCATCTCAATCACTATCAGATCACATTGAGGGAGTTACTTGAGAACACCCTAAATTTTATTTCTATTACTATATTGTAACTTTTTAAAAATGACCAAGTTACAAGAATATTGAATTTTATCCAGCAGCCTACTATTATCGTATCAGCAGAATAACTCAAATTATTTTTTGATCATCAAAAACTTGATTATTTGATGATGATTAAAAGAACTTGAGCCATTCTGTTGGTTGGTCGTCGTAAGCTATCAGATAATACCGATATTAAAACTTATGCAGCCAATAACTTTTTATCTGACAGAGAATTTAACGTGTGTCATGAAGCTGGCTTATTAATTTCACAGCCAGTTAATGAATTATTTTACAAATAATTTCAATATTGGCTGCTTCACATCTAATAATTCTATATTATAATTATCTAGTTATAAATTACATAAAAATAATTTTTATACTGAAAAGTTATTACATAACATTTTATATTTATTATAAGTATTATAAATTTCATATTATAAATAATGTATAGTATATACATGTTTGTTTAATATGACTTGTGCTTTTTAAAAGAACCTTATTGAAATACATTAGAATGTTCGATTAATTCATTATGCCTTACAATATCTGCAATAAAAATATTGTTATTCAAAATAATTTTGTCTGCAACTAAGTGTTTAGATGACTGTTGATTAATGTAACTAATGTACTCGCTAGTATGAATCGTATTACAGCGCTTTTCAATTTACTGTGATCATCAAATGATTGACTAGGGATTGGACCTGTCCCAAAAAATCCAACCCGGGTTACCTGTCGGTTAATTGCTAACCTACCTGGGTAAAGTATAATTTACAATTAATATGATTTAATTGGTTGAAGCTTCATCACACGACCAAGCACATAATGAATGAATAATGCCTGTCCGGACCAGGGACGATGATTTGCTGTGTTTCACAGAACACCACAGAATTTTTCTTAAACACAGCAAACCACAGAAATCACCATTGGTCAC